TATTCTGGGCTGTGTGGCACGATCTGGAAGGACAGTGTTCAAGTTTCAGGCAGGGGTCTAGTAGAAAGATTTCAATGGTTTGCAAAAGCTTGGTTGCATTTCAGAACAGGGGTCTGAAGGAACAATGCTGGGGATTTGAAGTGGCATGAAGGAGCATAGTGACGTTGGGCAAGGATGTGAGGGAACATCTAGCATGTGAACGGAAATCCGTGGGAGTTTGATGAGAATGTTTGAGGTAGTGTTTTGGGAGATTATTGGGGCATCAGAAGGGAATTAATAGTAATATTTTGAGGTGTTCAATAAATTTTTGGGAATACTATTGAGTTAGAAGGGAGGATATTGGATTATCAGAAGAGGACTAATTTTTTGAGGCATTCAATAAAATCTGGGATTCCTATTGGGATATCAGAGGGGAGTATTGAAAATGTAGAGATCAAAGGGTTTGGGGGAAATATTGGAGTATCAGAAGTGTGTTCAATAAAATGGAGGAGTGGCATTGGGGTGTTGATCAAGATTCCAGGCTACACCTAGGACTGAGAATGAAGCTTGGGGTGCTGGGGTCTGCAGAGAGGCTAGAAGCGGAGGGGAAGTTCCAGGCATGGCTGGATGGGAGTATCTGACCTGGCTCCTTTTTGCCCCTCAGACCACCTTGGAGTGTACTCTGAAGCCAGGCTTGGTTTACAACAAGGTGAACCCCATCTTCCATCACTGGAGCCTGGGAGACTGCAAGTTTGGGCTGACGTTTCAGAGTCCTGCAGAGGCTGATGAGTTCCAGAAGAGCCTGCTGGCTGCACTGGCGGCGCTGGGTAGAGGTGAGCGGCGTACGTGGTGGGCACTGAGGGTCGGAGTGGAGGGTGGGGGAAGCTGGGGCCCAGGGAACTCACTTTCTGCCTTTCTCCCTGCCCCAGGCTCACTCACTCCCTCCTCCTCTTCCTCCTCCTCCTCCCCTTCCCAGGACACCGCAGAGACTCCCTGCCCTCTGACGGTGAGTCTCCAGGACCAGCTCTGCTGGGAGGCCAGGGGGGTTTTCTATTCCACGAACAATTCTTGAGCACCTACTGTGTATCAGGCACCATGCCACATGCTGGAGACAGAAATTTGGGCCCAAACTATCACTATCGATTCAATCCCAGAACAGTTTCTGTTCTGTCATGATAGAACACGTTCATACACTCATTCAAGGGTATTTATCGAGCACCTTCAGTAAATAATGTTTTAGGCACTGGGGATACATCAGTGAACAAAACAAAGTCCCTTTCCTCATGGAGCTTCTCTTCCGGTGTATAGAGGCAGAAAATTAAAAAAAAAAAAAAGGGAAAAAGAAAAAGAAAGTAAACTATAAAAATAAATATTAAAAGTAAATGGATGAACACATTACTTTAGTGACTCGGCACAAACCTTGGAGTCGTCCTTGACTCCTCTCTTTTTTTTATGCCCCTCATGTAATCTGCCAGTAAATAATATGCTCCACTTTCAAAATGATCAGACTACCTCCAACCTGGTACTGCCCAACCTCATCCTCCAACTGGACTATCTCATCAGCTTCTCACTGTCAACTGCCCTTCACCCCCCATCCCTACTGTCAGTTCCCCACACACAGCCAGAGGGACCCTATTGACATTGAAGTCAGATCGTAGCCATACACCAGTCAGAACCCTCCCAAGGCTCCATCTCACTCAGGATAAAGGGCAGAGTCCTTATAGTGGCACATAAGATCCCACACCATCTGGTCCCCTCTTATTCTCCCTCTTGCTCACTCTGCTGCAGCCACACTGGCCTCCTTGCTGTTATTCTAAAGGGCAGGCACATTCCTGTCTCAGTCTTTGCACTGGCTGGTCCTTCTGTCTTGGAACACTCATCCCTAAATTTCCACATGGCTCATTCCCTTATGTCCTTCAGGGCTTACACACACGTCACCTTCTCAGTGAGGCCTTCCCTGAGGAACTTGTTTAAAATTGCAATCTCCTGATGTTCTTTATTGTGTTCTAATTTTTTTCCCAGTTTCTAAGATATTTTCCTTATTTTCTTTACCAATAGATAATTTTCTTATCTGTTAGTTTACTGTCATTCTCCCATGCTAGAGTGTCAGCTCCAGGAGGGCAAGGATCTTTTGTCGCTTTCTTGCTGCATCTCCAAGGCTTAAAACAGGGCCTGGTATACAGTAAGTGTTTAGTAAAGATGTGTTGAATAAATTTATTGAATCAATAAATGTACAGAATGTTCGATGCGATTTGGCACTTGCTGGGAATAGGGGGAATTGCTTGAGAACACTGGGGAGGAAGGAAACTGATACCCTTGGCAGACAATGGGGACTCCCAGGGTAATGGGAGATGCAGGTGGGTCTACAAAAGTCACATAGACACTTCTCAATTATTGAGTGTTTACTCAGGAAAGATTCTGTGCCTTTCAAGCTCCATCTCACGTCCTCACAATGGCCTCTGTGAGCCTGGTGTGTCGTGTGCTCAGCGGATGGGTATTGGAGATAGTAAATGCATGACGTAGAATGATTCCCAGGTGACAGAAAGGAAACCGAGGGTCCGAGAAGTGATGTTTCAGCTCGTACAGGACAGAGTTTAGTTTAGATGGGAAGGAATGCATTCCAGGCGAGTGGAACTGCCCCAGAAAGGTGTGGTGGGAATGAGGCAGGAAGGCAGCTGTCTGGCCGAGGGAGCAGGTTTCTGAGAAAGAAGGATGATTTGACATCCCTGTAGGTTGGTGAGCTGAGCAGATAAGAGCATGTCCAGCTCTTCCCAGACTTCAGGCATGTGGCATGCCCTTTACAGTGAGGCCGAACCACAGCCTTATGAATAGACATAATTATGATCCCCATCTTACAGAGGAGGAAACTAAGCCTCAGAGAGATGAGCTCACTTGCCGGAGGTCACACAACCAGTCAGTGGCAGAGCCAGGTCTTGAACCCGGGCCTGCTGCTGCAGAGCCCCCGCTGGCAATGGGAGGGGGCCTGTGTGGAGGGCAGCGGCTGTGCGGGTTTGGCTCTGAGGCCGCCAATCTCCCCCAGTCCCACGTGGACAGCGACTCCTCCTCCAGTCACAGCCGCCAGGAGACGCCTCCCACCGCCTCGGTGGCGGCCCCCATCATCACCGTGGAGTCAGCTTCTGGCTTCGGGCCGGCTACACCTCCCCAGCGCCACTGCTCCTCCACTCAGGTGCGCCTTCGTGGGTGGGTCCGGGTGCTGGGGTCCGGAAGTGGGCAGGAGCTGAGGCTGCAGAGGGGCGAGGAACCACAAGCAGATCCTAGGGGATGACTGACCTGAGCCAAGGGGGTGAGGGCAGTGGAGCTTGCAGGCCTGGGTTCCTGGGAGGGGAAGTTGGGGGAGGGCTCCCCATGTTCCTGCACTCTTGGAGATTTTGGAAAGTTCTGAATTCCAGAGTGGTTGGGGGACGACTTGGACAATGAATTCTTCCAGTATATTAGGGGGTTGCTGGTACTAAAGGAAAGGATTCTTTAGGTCGTTTAATTCATGGAGTTGGGAGGTGCGCCCAGAATCCAAGGGGTTAAAGGGACCTGGGGACTGGACTCCTTCATCCCAGAGGAGGAGATGACTGGGGTCCAGAACACCTGGATCTGAGTGAGCATAGAAGGGGCTAGGGGCTGAGACTCCTGACTCTTGAGAGAGGATGGGACTGGGAGCCTGCCCTGGGTTCTTAAGGTGTGGGCTTGGTGCTGGGATTCTTCTGTCTGTCGCCTAGATTTCCTCTGTCCCCCGGGAGAGGAGGGCTGGGGCCTTGGACTTCCCAGGACAGGATGCTCAGATGAATGAAGCCGGTGGCGGAGTCTGGATTTTGGGGTCTTCTGAGACTGGGATGGATTGGGGTTGCGGCGGGATGTGAGGGATCACAGACCCCGCTAACCGGTTCTCCTGTCCCTTCGTCCCGCAGAGCTATCCTCCGCTCCTTCCATTCACGGGAATTCCAGAGCCCTCAGAGCCGCTGGCCGGGGCAGGGGGCCTGGGCTGGGGCGGCCGCGGCTATGAGGATTACCGGCGCGCCGGGCCACCCGCACCCCTCGCCCTGTCCACCTGCGTCGTGCGCTTCGCCAAGACCGGCACATTGAGGGGAGCCGCCCTGGGGCCCCCCACTGCCCTACCCGCCCCTCTCACCCAGGCTGCACCCCCAGCGCCCCCGGCTCGCCCACCCCCGGGTCCAACCC